CCTAAAGAATGCACTTGTCTGAGCTGCGTGACCTGTGTGTTAACAGGAAGTAAACAAGAATTCAAAGAGTTAAAATCCCAATGACATATTAGATACCTGTTCTGTTGTTTTCAGGTATCTCCGTTTGGATGGAAATCACCTGAACCCTCCCATCCCTCTGGATGTCATCATGTGCTTCAGGCTCCTTCATTCTATTGTCATTTAGGAAAACCATGCCTAAAGGCTTGCACATGCAGTACTGTGCAAAAGTCTTGAGCTACGCAGCATTTCTTTATATTTTGCTAGGAAAGTGTGAAAAATGTGCTTTCTTGTTATTTCTTTACGTGGTCTCCAGAAATTGTTCTCCGGGCTTCTTAAAAGACATTCAAAGCTCTTCCTTGAATGTTGGCTGCCTTTTGTTCTCTTCCCTATCAAGATGATCCCACACTGCTTCAGCAATTTTGAGGTCTGGGATCTGGAGAGGCCAATCCAAGACTGACAGTGTTTAATTGGATGTTTTTCTGTCCCGGTATCTTTTACTGCTCTGTCAGTGTGTTTGGGATCGTTGTCATACTGAAAGTTGAAGTTTCTGCTAATCAGATACTTTGCAGATGGTACCACGTGGTGGATCAAAATCTGACCGTACATGTCTGTAGTATTGATGTCAATTGATTTGACAAGATCCCCAACACCACTCGCTGAAATGTAGCCACAAGCCATGACAGGGCCTCGGCCATGTTTGGCTGCAGTCACACACTGTGTTACATCTTTCTTATTGACCATAATTTGAACTAAAAAAAATTCAAATTTTTGGTTCAAAGAAGACTGATATTTGGTCCCGTTTTTGTGTAATTTGACATACCTTCAATTTACTTTATTAAGAATGGCTTCTTAACAGCCACTCTTCCACTGCTTATGAGGCTTCAGTGAACAGTAAATGAACTGAAGAGTCAGATGCATCTCTCAGGTCATGTTTGAGATCTTTGCTGCATTATTTGACCTATTTCTTCTGAATATAACTTTCAGAAAAACTTAAAAGATTTTAAGATCTTGGAGAACTGTTGCTCATTACTATAAAGAATTAAAAGAAAGTCTGGCTCCAAAACAATAAGAAATGAGGGGTGGCTCAAGACTTTTGCACAGTATTTCTGACACACACACACACACACACACACACACACATCCATGAAAACATAGACTCACTTAGTACTAGGTGCATTTCATTGTAAAGTATGGTGTTTATCAGCAGTAGACGCTGTGGAACTGTAATACTGAGAGAGGGACTGCAAACAACTGCAAAACTTGGATGGTTCAAACTTTTTTAATTGTGATGACAAATTTAACTATTGCCATTTTTTGGACAGTCCCAACATTAAACTACAAATCAGCATAAACTGTGGCTATGCTGACATTTAGAGTTAGGTTTCTGTAGTAGTTGCAGTTTATCAGTGTTTTTTGTTTACAAAACTTCATGTAAAGAAAAAAAGTGAAAAATATAGCTTGAGCAAAGCCTGAAAACACAGGGACCTTTACAGACATGCTACAGACATAAACGGTAGTTAAGTTCACAAGAATAGGTCAACAGAGTGGGGCAGCCGTTGGAGGCAATGAATAAATATGCAGTGTAAGTTAAAAGAGATAACCAGCTTTAAATAACTAGCTCCATGTAGTTAAAACAGTTTCAAATGTGCCTGTGATTTTCAAGATACTCTTTGTAAAAATGTCATTTTATTCTTGTTATCCCTAATCTTTTGTATATTATTCTTCTGTATAAAGAAGCTTTGTACAAACAATGGAAAATAAAAGTTCTCCTTGATCATCTGAAAATGCTTGATGTTTGAAATAAAAAATGTAGTTTTCTTCCTCATTTCTCTTTTCTAATATGCTTCACTGCTTTCTCTGCTTAGTCGACACCAACCCAACCTGTTTCACAATAATATGAGCCTTTGGATAAAAGCAACATGTTAGTAACTGACCAGGTATAAAAGGAACATTCCAAAGAAGCTAGAGGTAAGGGCGTCGACTATCTGTAAAAGGCTATGTGCAAGACCCGTAAAAGACGGATGTAGCACCATAACGTCAAGGTCAGCATTTTGGCCGACGCCATGTTGGTTGTTTGGAGACTGAAGTTAACATATTTGAAATATAGGTGAAGCTTGGTTTGGCAAATTAGTGCTAAGTAAAAAACTAATAATTGACTCACCAAAACTGAAGCACAAAATTCTGGGTTGGTCTGCACCACAGAGGAACCACAAGTTACTCATTTAAGACCATTAAAGGCTCCAGAAGCACCAACATGGGAGAGGTCTATACCAGTGACTTGAATTAGCAGAGGTGAGGTCTAGTAGATGCTAAAGGGCCACAGCTACTTTTGCTGGGACACCTGTCAATGAACCCACCCAAGGTCTTGACTCAATATTCCAGGTGGATATTTATTTACATTTCTTTTTCTACCAGGTCTTAAAAATGCCTTTTTTTTTTAATGCTTTAAAGTTTGGCTTTTTATCATCATGACTTCCTCTCGCAGCTAACTTCAAGTGGCAGGAACCAAAGGTTTGTGCACTTCCTCGCTGGCTTCATTTTAAACTCATATATGCATGGCTATTTGAGAATAATAATTTCTAAATGTAAAATTTCAGATAATCTGAAGATTTGTTTCTCAGGGTGACATAATAAAAAGTAAGAGACAAGAACCTAGTAATGTAAATCACTGAATGGTTACTGAACACAGTTTGACGCTTGAGTCACAAATACAAGTTAAAGCTGCAACATTCAAAGAAAAAATTCTATGAAAACAAGATCCAGAAATGGTGCCACGTCCTGTGAGCCTGAGCTCATCGAAAAGACAGCATTTATGATGTAGTACATTAGTACACAAGCTCACATTAATGCTGAACAGTATACACAGGTACTGAAGTAACATATGCTAGCATCCAGAAAACATTTTTTCATGAGAGGCCCTTGTTTATTTAGCAAGGCAGCAGTTAACCACATGCTAAACGAGTTAGGACAACATGACTTTTCAAAAAAAGAAGTTTGCGTGCTGAACTAGCGTGCAGGGCCTGGCTCTACCACCAACTGGAAACATTTGGTGCATTGTAAAATGAAAAATATGACAACCAAACTTTTCAGAAAGAAATGAAACATCATCACAATAGCATCAGCAAACTGCTTGGGTTCATTCTTCATTAAACAAAATATTCATTCCATTTAGTTTCACTTCACTGTTTTGTTGCCTGATTTTCTGAGGCCCCCGGGAGTACCTATGTGTCCTACCAGTGGGGGCCTTCCCCGCAGTTTGAGAACCACTGGTGTAGCATTTCCATGTTGACCCTGTGGTCTGGGTGGTATTTTTGTGGGTGCTCTGATTTCCACCCACAGTCCAAAGACATGCATGTTTGTTTAAATCGCAAATGAATTAAAGGATTTTTCATTTTGTGTTTATTGACTGTGACAGTTTAACATGTAAGAAAGCAGAAGTGACTAAAGGCTGCAAAATTGCACAACACTGTGCGAACAGAAGTAACTATGTGCATGTAAGAATGACCGGATTAAGCCAAACTTTCATTAGATACATCATAAGATACCTTAGCAAGAAAATATTTAATATCCACTTTGTTTCTAAAATACTTGATGATTTTACCTTTTAAGATGTCTAAAAACAATTTCAATGAAACATGCTGACATTTCAACTTGTTTCAAAGAATAACAGTTCAAAAAGGATTGAGAGAAGCTGACAGTGGCTACGTTGGCAATTTTGTCAATTTTTTGTGTTTCCCGTTTCAGTGTAAAAAAAAGTCACTTTGTTCCCGAGGCTCTGTATTTAAGAGGTAGTACTGCATGACTGCAACTCTGGTGGAATTGAGAATACAATAGAGAAGCATTAGAGGCTTTTTAACTGGCTCTAATTGACTTCCTTTACAGGTTATTCCTTGTTTCATTGGGTTTTCTTGCTTCCTACCACTGCAAATGAAGTTTTAGAAGACTTCAAAAGCACCCTGGTAAAACAGGCTGGCGAGCAGGTCTGGTAGGTATTTCCAATCAGGACCTGTTGACTGAAGTGATGTCAGAATGCCCTTCAAGTAAAAAGACAAAAGTCAACGAGAGGCTTTATTTCCAGTATACACCCACAGTGTTATGCAACATTTGGAAGTAGCTATACAAATCAATCTGAAATCTAAAAGAGACAAGAAATAAAATGATATTGCCACAAAACACTTCCTTTTACAAATTAATCACATTAAAACAACACAGACTTTAAAAGCTCATAAGGCAAATGATTCAGGGAGTGACTTCTTAATGCGGAAGCTGCAGCAGCTTCAGTTTAAATGATGAAACTCTAATCTAGCAACAATGATTACTCATTCATTATTTACATTACGCATCACTGAGAGTGAAAGTTTTTCTTCACAATGACAGCACTACTCATCAAAGAGGAGGAAATCAGCAATAATTCCTTTTTCCATTCTTCCAATCAGAGACTGAAACATGACCGGGAGTTCCTTTAATTGCACCAGACTTCCTCCTCCTGTAAACCCATTCACGTGCATGCACCTGTGAAGTCCCATGCATGTTTAACCTGTTCAATACCTGGTAAAAAGAAAAATCCCCTTACTCCACACTATAAGAGGACACAGGATGGAGGCCCAGAGACACAGCTTCACCAGAACTCTCCCTCTGAGTGACACACGCACAGGTGAGTCTGAATACACGTGATACTTCTCTAGGCAATGATGATGGCAGCTGATAGACTTGACATAGTGTTTCCTTTATTCTGGATATTGGTAGTTTATAAACTTTTTTTTTTTTTTTTAAAAAATGATCCAATATCCATTTATGTATCTATAAATGCTCATAAAGTATTTTTTAATTTGTGGATTTGAAGTTTTTTATCCATTTTGATGATCTGAGGAAACAGTGATGAACCTTTTTCCTAAATTAATCAACAATTTTACACAATACACAATTCTTACAAACCGAAACGCTTCTGTTAGCTTTCTCACCAGATCGCCATCATCAGGATGAAGATGCTTATCGGCTGCTCTGCTTCCTTCCTCCTCCTCCTGCTGCTCAGCTGTCTGACTGAACCTGCGGAGAGTCGAACTCTGCATCTGGACAGCTGCTCTGTCAGTGTTCACACACACGAGCTGCGCAAATACTACGCACACATACGATCAAATGCGGTGAGTTCATGCAATCAAAACCTCTGGCAAGAACTTGCACGAGTGTAACGTCAGATTAAAGTGGCAGAAAGTCGTTGTAACTGGATCCTTTGTTTTTCTTTTTCTTTTGTGATAGATTTCAGAAGACAACGAGATCGGAATGAAACTTCTGGATAGATCACTGATGAAAAATGTTCAAGTGAGCTCTTGCGTTGTGTTGCCACTCAGTCATGATGATTTGCCTTTTATATTTACTTTTGCTTCCCTTTTTTTTGACAAGTGTCTTCCACATATTAAGTCTCTATCACCAGAATATGGATTCTGAAGATAGGGGTTGTGAAAGGTGCTAGAATCTGACTTTCGCCATGTCCCCCTCAGGACGGTCAGACATGCTGTTTCCTGCGTCTTGTGTTGCGTTTCTATGTTGAGAGAGTGTTCAGCAACTATGCCTCATCCGAGCCACAACAACAACGCTGCTCCAGCGCTCTGGCCAATGCTTTCGTGAGCATCAGAAGAGACATCCATAAATGTGTAAGTTTGCTCTCCAGTCTCAAAATGTGCTTCTTCTTCTTTTTTGAATGAAAAGCTGTCATAGATTGTAATGATAATTGTGCTTTTCTGTGTATAGCATTGCCAATGTGGAGAAGAAACCCAGAGAACAATTGATTCAGTGCATGCTGAGTTTATCAAGGTAAGACACAATAAAATCTAAAATGACTTCCTGTCCTAGACGCTCAATAATAAGCTCCAAGATCAGTTGTTGTAATTTTCCTAATATAACCTAGTTAGTAAGGGAAAAGCCGTGAGCTGTGAAACTTTGTTGTATGTCAATAATATCTTTATTAATGTTACATTTTGTTTTGGATTTCAACAAGAAACAAACACAAATGGGTTACTATACAGAACACAGAGAAAATACCTAAATCTATAAGCTCACTTCAAATAAAACAGCCAAAAACTGCAATGATTTCTAAATCTTGTAAACTAATTTTTATTCACAATAGATTCTCTGAGTCTTTTGATGATATTATATTCTTGCTGTCCTGCAGATGACGAGATAATCAAAGCAGTTTTACTTTATTCTGAAATTATTCAACAATTAGCCGATGTTTTTGCAGATAGTTGAATCTTTGTCCATCTTTAGCTATGAGAAACTCTGCCACTCTAAGAGGCCTGTTTTATACCCACTCACGTTACTGAAATGCTGCCAATAAATTTAATTAGTTGCAAAATGTTCCTCTATTGACTTTCTCAGCCTTTTGTTGCCCCTGTCTCGACTTTTTCGACGTGTGTTGTTACCTTCAGATTCAAAATCAGTTTATTTTTTCTCAGCTTAAACCTTTGATATTATTTCTGTGTTCTATTGTGAATAAAATCTGAGTTTATATGATAAGAGTATCACCGCCTTGAAAGACACACGTGTTGTTTTCAGATCTATTTTCTTATCTAACTCTTCCACTTTTCCCTTGTTCCTCTTTCTGCTGAGCAGCTACAAGCAAACAGGGCAGCACAGAAGGCAATGGGTGAACTGGACACTGTGCTGGAGTGGCTGGAAGCACTGGGACCCAAAACTTAAAAAAATTGAGCTGCTCTTTACAAATGTGCTAATTTAAGTTTTGTGGCATGTTGCATTTCTATGTTTTCACTTGAAAGAACTTGATATTTAGTTGGGGGTTTTTATTACCCTTTTTGTATCCACTAATGTGGACTGAAATTGTATGCTATATTTATAACTAAACAAAAAACGTGTATACTTCTGAGGAAGCTGTTACTGTAAGATTGTTTACTAGACTTAAATGTTTGTTTTTATTTTTGTAAATACTTTAATTTAAAAACCAATTAAAGAAAAATACAACTGTACCGTGTGCTCTCTGAGAGTTTCCTGTCAACAGCTGATGTCTGCTCTTCATTACCATCTAGTGGCCATCAGTGAAAATTCAGTGTTGCTGTTTGTCCCGATACTAGATTAGGTGCCTGCTCGTGTGTCTGCTTATGTGCTTTCTGAAATTGTCTCAAATCAGTATTCATGGTGTAGCCCACATTTTATCACAGTCTAGTATTCTGCTTCGCACAAACGCTGACAGTATCTGGGAACATGTGGACAAATTTCTTTAGTCTGTTGACTGACATCAGTCCAAAGGCATTGTTTATGATTTTTATGAGAGAAGAGAAGAGAAGAGAAGAGAAGAGAAGAGAAGAGAAGAGAAGAGAAGAGAAAATGTGTTTCACTTACTGTTATCAGATCAAATCCATTTAATCTGATGTGTCTTTTTTATGTGCAGCAGATGTACAGCTAGTAGATAACTTGATCTGGCGGGCTGCTCTGCCTTCTCAGCTTCTTAATGCGCGGTTTGTTTTATGCCTGTAATACTGTATGACTGGGCCTATTTGCCCCAATAAATCACCTGAGAACAAATACGCCTGTCACTTCTGCAAAAAGAATTAATTGAGGGACATTATCTCAGCAAGCTTTAGGGGACACACACATGCTTTCACGAATAAGAGTGGATGTGTAGCAAGCCCTTTGGCTCTCTCTGAACAGACATCTGATTACTAGCTGCTTGAATATTTGCCAATACTGTGAATGTTGTGACAAATATTACAAAGGAAATTGCTTCCTCTGATCATTAATCACTGCAGCAGCAGAAGCAACAGACCCGTAACAGAGTATACATGTAATCATGTCTTACACAGGAACAATAACACCTCAGAAGGTATGTTAAAAAGAAGCACAGGGGAAAAAATGAACACCTACTTACTGAAATTCTCATGTTCTGTGAATCCATAAATGGTGCTGCTTGCATTTTTTTCACTTTGCTGATAAAAGTTAAATTGAAGTAAAAGTGAAACCTAAGTTAGGAAGTTCTAGCTAAAATGTTGTACTATCTTTCTTCGAAACTTGTGGCCAATTTTTTTTTCCTCTTCTGGTGTCACAATCTGCTGAAAAATGAAAATGAGATAAGTACCTGATGTGTAGGATCATATTGTACAGATCTTTTACTTAGACATGAATCTATGTGCTCAGTTTCGGAAAATGTTAGCCAACTGATATATAAGTGATCGGACTGTTGATACTTACAACAATGTATAAGAACATTTATTTATATCCACTGTAAAGAAACTATTCTTAAGGATGGGGAAACAGGCTGAGGTACCAAATTACACAAGAACTGGACTGAAGATTAGTGCCAACAGTGCTTCTCACCAACTGATTAATCTAATTGTGAAATTTGTTTTCAGCCAGCTGTGCTGGGTATCTTGTCAAAATTGATGGAATTATGGAAGCGGGAAAGTTTGATCGGGTTTTGATCCCATTTAGAAACCATCTGACTCACACTGGCTTCGATTTTCAACATGAAAATGATACCAAACACACAATGGAACACTGTCAGGCATGGATTGGCCTCCCCACAGCTCAGACCACAGTGATATTGGACAAGTGTGGGATCATCTTGATAGAGAGAACAGAATAAAAGGCAGTCAACATCCAATGAAGAGCTTTAATCCAACAATGTTGTGGTTCATCACTAACATCATATAGACACAAATATCCACAATCCTGATTAACGACTGCACAACAATCCCGGACACTTTTCCTTATAGCAACACAAAGGACTCACTCACCTCCTCCAGTATCGTTTGGCCCACAGCCCACAGCTAAAACTGAATCTAATAGAATTAGATTGGTGATAAATATTAATATCACCAATAAGTCACCGCATCAAACAAACCCATGACAATCTTATCAGTATTCAGAAATGATTTGGGAACATGAATTTGCTTTCTGCCCCTACTCCTCAACAGAAATCTGTAATAACCCTTTTCCACACCTAACGGTACAGATGTATTACTTACACAGCGTATGGATATTTACAGAGTTCGCAGCAACCACAGAGAGGAGTTTGCAGATGGCCAAAGAAACTCTCACCCTCTGTTCCTAGAAAGCTTTCTCGAAACAGTTTTCAGAATGTCATTTCTCATTTGATTCATCAGCTCCCTTCTACGTCTTTCTGACTCTGTTCCTTTTTTTTCTTGCTGGTTCAGACCAGGTCAAAAAAAAGTTTGACGGATATTACAGACGGATGTATCACGATTTCTTCCAGCAGTTCCGATCACTAATCCCAAGCACGGTGAAGGTATTATTTGACTTGACCAAACTGATTGTGATGGGTTGCAAAGAGTCAGGACCAAATGTTCCAATCTAAAACATGTCATACTCAAACATATCTCCTAACAGGCTGCTAGTACTTTTGCAATCACCATTCTTCACCATTTAGGGAAATGCTGGTTTCCGTTCAATTCTGTTTCCTTGGAAGTATTACAACAGCTCTGGAAGACCCTCAGTGGTGG